AAATAATGACAAAATTGCCTAATTTAATTTCTAAGCAATAACACGATTTGTTAAACTATGAATTTAATAGTCCATAGTCGCACTTCTGAGTTTTCCCCTCGAGAAAAATACAAGGATAGGATGCACTTTAGCAAACGCAACTTATGGTACATTTGGATTTGATTTTTTCGAGACAAAAAAGTACAAATATAGTTTATAAATAAATTAAAATCCATCTATTATACCAGCTCTTTTATTACTGGTACCTACATACGTTCAGGATGACGAGACGAGAACGCGCATTTTCTACGGAAAGAAAAAGTCGAACAAAAGCAAAAGTTGGTTCGGATTTGACACAGAATGCGACTCAAGTGAAGAAGTTAGTTGGGTCACAGACACTGAAATCAATACATACACATATATATATATATATATATATATATATATATATATATAATTTACAAAGTGGTCAAACACCTAGAACAGACAGATACGGAACTATTAATAGTCGGATTCCATCACAAAGCCAACGATTGAGAATTTAGATGACGATTTATTTTCAAACTGGTTAATTATAGATACAAAAGTCGTTTATTAGATGATATTTTTAGATTTATCTTGGATAGGACTGAAATAAATTCATTGTTCTGATTTTTCAATACTTGGCTAAAAAATGTGTCAGAACTTGTCTGCTAAAATATATGTGAAAAAACCTAAATTGTTTCAAGAAATATTAACATCTTCGTGGACGTTAATGCTACAGCATTTATTTTTATTGTGATGCAGAAGAATATGAATAGCTTTTAAATTTTAAAGTCAATTATTTTGAATTTTTTTATATAACTTTACGTTTTTGTTATTATTGCACCTGTCAAGGTAATGACTAACTTTACAAGATTTTTTATGTATTTTCGTTTCACTTTATCTTTTCTAATTTTTTCTATCTACTTAACTTGGGTAAGCAAATTGCGTTAAATAGAAGCGTAATACTTGACGTGGATGCTATAGCATTCATCTCGTATGTAACGGTTAAAATATGATAATCTGTAAACGGTTTCTAATCAATTTTTGGGCCAAAGTAAACACCCTTTATTAGTGTGTTCGAACGTATTTTCGTTTTATTGTATCGACCATGAAGGTGACAATCTTCATGGCATTAAGCATTACAGTGTTTGTGTATTACACGAAGTTCTATTTAATGATATTTATTTAATATCATTTTGCTTATTTATATTTTTAGAAGAAAGGCAGATTTTTATGAAATCTGTAAAGATATAATAAACCAGAAATATTAGATCTTCAAATGATGAAACATGAATAAAGCTAGAAGTAACACTTATATAATTTTATTATAATTTTATTTAATTGATTTATCAAGTTTATGATCTTAGCGAGTAATTATTATTTATTACAGTAAATTCTGTTTTTACAGTTTAAACGTTCTAAAATCTCACGCAGAATATTTTTTTCACACGATTCTTTTTATTGCAATCAAAGTTTCATCATTTGTTCTACATGCACTACACTTGTCTTAGTATTTTATACTAATAGAGTGTTTTTATTATGTGTATAAAGACATTTGCACACACATACACACACATAAAATAATTATTTTGAGTGGAATAAGCAATTTAGTCAAAATATACTCAAAGCCTCAAAATCAAGATAAAATTGGAAAATGGAAATACAGAACAAATATAGAATATTTTAGTGTAAAATCTAATTAGTCATCTCTGTTGCATGTGAGCATTATTAAATAAACATTCATATCAATAACATTTGACAAAATTTAAAAAAATGTATATAAATCACACACTTGACACTGAGCACTGATACACTATCATTCATTTTCATCTGCACTTGACTTACACTATTAATTTAGTCTTGAATGCTATTTTATTTTCTACTAATTCTTACTATTCACCTTCATTTTATTTCAAGCATGTTTATAACCTATCTAAGCCTGCTTCAATGATAAAGTCATATTTTAATTTGAAAATCAAAAGTAGATCATTTGTAGTTAGTCAATTTCTTAATATATTCATGGTTGTTTATGATGTAGTCTTAAAATTTTTCATATAGAAGCCAATTCTTGGATCAAATGGGTATGTTATGGTAATTCTATGTTACGGGTCTATCTTTATATGAATTTCTGATTTCGCTTGGGGCAATTCTGCCATAGTAGAGCTCATAAAATAGGCAACGCTCTCTTAAGCTTGTTATTAGTAATTAAAATTATGAAAATGTTTATCTCTTTGCCGTGCGATCAGGCATATTTTACATATAAACAAGCAAGGAATAATGTTATCATAACAGAATTCTATATGGTGCAGTTATCATAAGATTATTATTTGCTTATTTATATGTAAAATACGCCTTATCGCACGGCAAATAGATAGACATTTTTATAATTTTAATACCAAGAACAAGCATTGCCATGACAACGCTATTTTATGAGCTCTGTTACGGCAGAATGGCCCCAGTTAAGTATTTGCTATTCTATTAGGCGTTTCACACATCAGAAAGTTGTACTCAAGATAAATTTTTACTGGAGGTTGAATTTTATGTGTAAAACACCCTGATAGCAGTTACTACAAATTCATACAATTATAGACATGTAACATACCTGCATCTATCAAAATAGAATCACCATAACATACCTATTTTATCCGAAAATTGGCACCCATAGTATTGTCACTAAACCTGCATCTAGTTACTTGTAACTAGTGATGTGCCAAGTCGAATCAAGTGATTCGAATCATTCGAATCAAGCCTTTAACGACTTGATTCGAATCAGATTTTACTTGATTCGAATCAACTCGTATCAAGCCGCGAAATATTTACTGTGATAAAATATGTATTAACACGAATTTTTTATAAATATAAAATTTTTCATAAATATAAATATAAAAAAAATGTTTTAATTTAATTCAATATTATAATAATATAAAAAATAAATATCATAAATATAAAAAATAAATAATGAATTAAATCATGCGAGCCACCCGACTTTAATATGCTTAAATGTATCAGCCGACTCCAATCGTCTTTATATAACTTTAACCGCATTTATCGACTAACTATATCATCCGACTTCATATGACTCAAACCGAATCAAGCGGCGATATGAGTTATTCCGACTTATTATGAGCCAACTCGAATCAAGCGGCGTTATGAGTTGTTCCGACTTCAATTCTGATTCGAATCATCCCGACTTCAAGCCGTTCGAGCGATATGAGTTAACCGTATGGGCGATACAGTGCGTCGTCGTTCTTGCGTGTTTATTTATTTTACGAAGAGCTGCGAGCGATTTTGTTCGTGAAATATCAATACCCAATTTTGATAATAATTAAGTGTTTTAGATCTTAAATGTTATCAGAATAAACCACTCGAAATTATGAAACGAGTTTCGGGAATCTTTCAATATAATTCTCTTTTGAAACAATTACTAAACACCAGAAAGTCAGTAAATAATATGTTAACTTCTAATTATGTAAGTAATGGCAAATTCACATTAATTAAATTAACTTTCAGCTCTCAGTTTAGATGCGATCCTTTACTGATTACATAGTAAAATAAACAATCGACCCATGATTCCAAATATTATTTTATATACTTTAGTGATGCACAATTGTTTGGTAATCTATTATGGTAAATTAATTTGAAGATATGTTTCAGCCGTCTTCAAAATTATATCATTTTTAATAATTTTCAAAATATACTTTTTGGTAGTAATTTATGATTACAATTTCTACTTTGTCGGTTATATTGGTTGAACTGACAATTTTGATTATAAATTTGGATCACTTTTACTAAATTAATACATCCATGATTTTTTTTGTCCATATATATACTTGATTCGAGTTGATTCGAATCATGATTCGAATCAGATTTTTTTCTGATTCGAATCATTCGAATCGGGAATTTTTCGAGTCGGCACATCACTACTTGTAACTTATTTTTTGGAAGTTTTATATATAGATTTTAATTATAACAATCTTGCTCAAATATAATACCATTCTTTTCATTTTGTTGATATTTCACTTAATAATTTTTTTTCTGAAGCAGTATTTATTTGTACAATAATAGCCCGGTCGATTTACGCATTTAAGTTTACTATAACTCATAATGGGCTGTAACTTGGCAAAGTAATTTGAAATACAATTATAAAAGTAATCTCAAAAGTTCTTATCGATCCGATGGGAGCTAAAAAAATGGTACAATGTCAAAGAGCAAAAAAATGATCATTTTTAGCTAAATTTTCAGTTTTATCGCAAAATTACCTGAACAATACTGTGGATCTACAAAAAATGCATTAATACTTCTTTTGCTCAGAGCTACCGTTTTAAAGATATATCACTTTGAAAAGTACGTTTAAACGCCTACGAGGTAGAGTGCTTAGCTCGTTTTCCACGTTGTTTTTCCAGTAGGCCTATTTCATGGGTCTGTTGTGATTTTGTTTGTTAAAGAACTATTGGAAAATAATATTTGTTACTTTGAGTTGGTACAAATAAAAGCGGTAATTATAAAAAAACAACTAAATTTATTCATGGGTGTCATAATATTCAAAATTACTACAAGTTTTTCGTATCGTTTTGCTTGAAGAAGATGACCTAGCTTTTCAAAGTGATATATCGTTAAAACAGTTGCTCTGAGCGTGAAAGTATTAATGCATTTTTTGTAGATAATTTTATACTCCACAATATTGTCTCGGGTCATTTTGCGATAAAACTGACCATTTGGCTAAAAAATGCAAAAGGGTAATTTTTTTTACCTTTGACATTGTGCCATTTTTTAGCTCGCATCAGATCGATGAGGCCTTTTGACATTTCTCTTATAATTGTATTTTAAACAATTTAGCGAAGTTACAGCCCATTATGAGTTAAAGTAACCTTCGCCCTGATTTTAATGCTTGAATAAATCTTTATCCTTCTTCTGAAAAGAATCTCTCCAGATTCTTTTCTATCTACTGTATTTTTTCTTCCTTCCGTCTTTACTGAAATCTATCTTCTCCTTTCCAGTGCTCGGACTCGGACGACATGCAGTCATCTGACGCGATGTCTGACACGCCGCTCTGTTCGTCACCATCGCTGACATCACCGTCACCATCGATCAGCTCCTCGGTGTCGCACTCGCCGTCGCCATCCCAAAGGGCGGCGGTGCTCAGCTACGAGCAGGTGCGCCGCCTGAGCGACGTCATGGACTCCATCGTGAGCATACACGGGAGGGGCAATTTTCCAACTCTAGAAGTCAGACTAAGGGATCTGGTGTCGGTGGTACGAGCCAAATTGGAAGCCGACATGCCAGTCAGGGATATCAGACTGAACGGAGGAGCTGCCACACACGTCTTGGCTACCGAATCCCAACCTTACAACGACTTAGATCTCATTTTTGCTGTGGAGTTTTCCAGTGGAAGACACTATGATAGAGTTAAGAGTGCTGTGCTTGGATCTTTGCTTGATTTGTTACCCGAAGGTGTCAGTCGTAAAAGGATAACGTCGTGTTCCTTGAAAGAAGCTTACGTAGCCAAGATGGTCAAGGTTAATAACGACGGAGACCGTTGGTCTTTGATCTCTTTAGGAAACTCCAGGGGACACAGGAATGTCGAACTCAAATTCGTCGACACCATGAGGAGGCAGTTTGAGTTCTCCGTGGATTCTTTCCAAATAGCTTTGGACTCCTTATTCTTGTTCTACGAGTGCAGTGATTTACCAATGGGCGAAAACTTTTACCCAACCGTTGTTGGCGAAAGTGTGTACGGAGATTTCCAAGAAGCTTTATACCACCTACACAAAAAACTTATAGCAACACGGCAACCTGAAGAAATACGCGGTGGAGGTCTTCTAAAATACTGCAATCTTCTAGTACGTGGATACCAACCGGTACACCGGGAACAAATCAAAAGTTTGGAGCGGTATATGTGCTCGCGGTTCTTCATCGATTTTCCGGACATAGGTCAACAAAGGTTGAAACTGGAAGGATATTTGTTGAATCATTTCATTGGACCTGAAGAAGAAGCTTTGAAATACCCGTACCTGATGCTGTTGCACAGCGTAGTAGAAGAGTCGACTGTTTGTCTAATGGGACACGAACGTAGACAAACTTTATCCCTGATCGAAACCTTAGCTTGCCATGTCGTGTTCCAGGAACAACAAAGGATATTCAGTCAACAGCAACCTGGTCAACCAGCTTTACTATACGCAAATGGTTACTACTACGCGCCAGTAATCCCTTACTGCACGTGTACCCAGACTAACTGGATGGCCTGTTCGTGAGATGTAGGAAATAGTTAAATATAGGACTTAGCATTAAAATAAATTAGTTGAGATTCAATAATAAAATATATATCTGTCTGTATGGAACGCTTCGATATCTGGCCAATATTCCGTATTTTTTCACCAAGTCATCGAAGTGTTTTTGTTTGTGTGTGCCTACGTGTGTGCGCATTTGCTGCTATCTTAATTGATGTAATATCAACTTTTTTTACCTGAAATCGTGTAAATGTGCATCATAGGAAATAATATAAGAAGAACTTCACGGTTTGGAAAAATATATAACGATTCCAGTGATTAATCACAGTGCAAGTGGAAGACGATAAATTTCTGATTTTTGACTTGGGCACTTGTAAATAAAAAGCTCAAAAAATATTTTTAATATTATTAGGTGTTATATTAAGAGTACATGCAAAACTGTACTTATTAGTAACATTTGTAAATAGAATTTAAAAAGCATTTTTGACAATGATTGTATAAAGAAATTGTATTTTTGATCCTTAAAAATGTGTCCAAAATTATATATAAATAAATCTTATAAAGTAGTTGATAAAGATACAAGATCAGCATGTGAAACGCTCAATTGAAATTAAATTCCACGCTGAATCTTTGTCTTTTATATAGATCTATATTTATCGTTGTGAAATAAATTTAGATTATATTTATGGATATATTCTATTTCTTTCATCTTCCAATTTTTATCAGAAACTTATACAGAAACAAGCGCAATTTTTTTAGTCCGCTGTTTGTTGATAATAGACTGATGCTCATTTATAACGCGATTTTTGAAAAATGGCAAAAAATTGCTTGTGTGCACATAGTTTGTAGATGTTTACTGATAAAAAATTTAGATTCTAAGTTTCTAATGTTATTATAATCAATTTGTTATTAAGTAATTTTATACTTTATAAAATATATGTGTAAATTAATTATCGTGCAACTTATATCATAATGATGTAGTGTGTTGGAATGGATCGAAATTTGTTGTTGAAAAGCTCAGAAAAACAGTATATATCAAAATTTGGGCTTATGTGAAGAGATACGTGTAGATTGCAGACTTTTGGACGCTTTTTTGCTGGTTTGGAGAAAATTTGAATTTTATTTGTAGTTGATTGCTGATGGTAGTAAAGTTACTTGAACTTCATGGGCCAAATTGGTTAGGAAGATATTGTTCTTGAAGAACAAGGCCCATTTCTGAATTTGTTAAAAAAGTACCAATCTTTTTGTATATTAGACTTACCGAGACTTGGTTAAAATTTTCTGCCTAGAAAAAAAATATTTTGGGGTCCATTCTATTGAAAAGTCTAATTTTTTTTCTTGGTTGAAAATTTCTATCCAGACAAAACATTATGTAATGTTTGTTTTTACTAAAAATTTATGCAAATGAAGTTACTTCTTGGTTCCCTCATGATTTTCTTTAATTTTTTGTTTATCAAGAGATTTTTTGGATTTGCCAATTTATTACCATATTTTAGAAAAAAAATAGTTTAGAGTCTCTTCTATTTAAAAGTCTAAAATTTTCTTCCTGGTTGAAAATTTCTATCCAGACAAAAAATTATATAATAATCCATTATACTGCAAATTTATACATATGAAGTTACTTCTTGTTTTCTTTAAGATTTATTTAAATTTTGGTTTAAAACGGATTTATTGGATTTGCCAAACTATCCAAAGGACTTGGTTCTAATTTTTACTTGATAATAATCGATCTTGATATAAAAATATTCTCTAGATGATTTTTATATGAAAATCTGTTTATACTGCATCAAATTCCATTTTTCTGGCATTCCAGTTCACAAAGTTTAAGTTTCTTCATAAAATTGGTTATAAAGACATTGTTTTTGAATAATCAAGACCAACTTCTATTGCTTCTTTGGAATTTGTTTAAAGAAAATTTTGGATTTTGTAATTTATCAAATTTAGCACAAATCTTTGTAGATTTTTCAATTTGGCTTACCAAAAGTGTTTGAAAAATTTCTTTTCAAGCAGAAAATTATGCTAAAGTATATTTTGTTCTAAATTTATGTAGACGAATTTACTACTTTCTTTTTCTCATGGTTTATTCCCATTTTTTTTTATCAAAATACGTCAAACTATTACCAAATACCTTTGTTTTAATTTTTATATATTTTCTGCAATTTTCTGCTCATTTTGCTCTGCAGATTTTTTTTACTGTAAAAATATAATGCATAATAAATATATCTGGAAATTTCAATATATTCGATATAAGAAAATTTCGGACAATCGGAATATTTTTTTTTTATTTTGATTTTTGCATTCTGCTCATGAAACTTCTAGTTTGTTTTATTATTACTAAAATTCATCATCAGCAAGCAATTTTTAATTTTTTGTTTTACATCTCTACGTTATTTAAATATTTTTGTTATTTTTTACCACGAAGATCCAAATTTTGTGTGTTAGTCATTTTATTTCAAAGACTGTGTCAAAAATTTATTTTTAAAAACACAGTTTCTATATTGTTAATTATTATTTTTATATTATTTTTACATTTCTCCTCAGCAAAAAGGCAAAAATCGCTTTACCCAAAGCGACTCGTAAATAGTTCTAATTAAATAAAATAATCATTTTTAATAATGACTTCTACATGTTCTCTTTATAAAATTAAATTGTAAATTAAAGTGTTATGTATAATTAAAAATGTGATTACTATTGAAACTAAATAATAAAATAAAATATGTATATAAATATATTTTCAATTTGTGAGTTCAAATTATCTCAGATATGTGAATGTATTAAACTATTTGTGGAATTGTTTATGCATAACTATTATAGAATAATATTCGCAGATTTGAAAATGGTTTACTGCATATATATATTGATATATGGATTACATATAGTATATTATATATGTTTAACATTTATAAATACGCATAGGAGAGGAGAGTTTAGAAAATTTGATGGACTTTCATGTTTTGGGACATTTTGGATGAATTTTCTAGAATTTTGTTGGAAGTATTTATATTGTTAAAATTCCTAAGAAAAATCCTTGCGAAGTTGCAAAATGCATGGTATAGTAACACATTGTTACTATTTAGTTTAAAATTGAGAAAAAGTTATTGGAGTCAGATACAACAAAATTTTTTGGTGATTTTTAATTTTTCAATTTTTAAGATATTTATCTTTAATTTGATACGTTGTACTTACAAAATATATCTATTAAATATAATAATGAATTTTCAAAATAAGCGCCTAAATTTGCGGTTGTTATAAAATTGAATATTTTGTATAATAATCATAATATTAATATATTTAATTTTATACAATAAATATTTATATCATATTTATAAATTTATCAAGGCTCGAGTTCATACAATGTTGATATTACAAGAAGAATTATAAATAAAATTAGTATGAAATATATATCCAGTTAAAATTACAAATTTTTCTTACAAACAAATCATCTTGCAAATAAAAAGTTAGAAATTTTTTGTTGGTAAATATTGCAATTTTTTGAGTATTAAATTTTTTCATAATTATTATTATTAATGTAAAATTTAATTGATGATTGTTGTTTTTATTGATCATTGATAAGGCCTTAAATTAAAGTTTTTCCAAAAAAATTTTTTTTTATATTAGACGGTGCTTAAAATTCGCCGATTTTTTTACTGTAAAAATATAATGTATAATGTAATGTATATATTTGAAAATTGCAATATTTTTGATATAAGACGGTTTTTCAAATTTAAAGAAAATTTATTTGTTTGTTATCAAAATTCTGACAATTTAATGCCAAATTAATTAATTTTTAAAATTTTACTTCGTAAAATGATGAAAATAATTATGAAGGTATTTTGAACGCAATTACGAATATTTTCTACTGAATTTAAAAATATTATATTTGTCAAATATTAATATTCAATTAATGTTTTTGTATGAAGTATTTCACGAACCATCATAAGATCATTTATCTTTAAATTCAAATTTAAAAATTGAAAAATAGTTATTTATTATTGATATAAGACGTTGATTAAAATTAAACGAAATTCAATAATCATCAATTAATTTCTAATCAGTTTTTTTTGTTTTGATAAGAAAAAGCCAGTCCATTTAATTTTTTTAAATATTCTAAATCCAAATTTTTATAACTAAAAAAAGGCTTATTGAAAATGTGATAGTTTTGTCACATTAATGTCTTATTAATTTATTTTTATGCAAATGAAATGCCAGACCATTTAATTTTTTTAAATATTACAAATCCATTTTTTTAAAAAAACAAGAAATTTTTTTAATAAAATATTTTTGATACTTTCGTTTAACAAATTGTAATAAAATTAATTTTCTACAGAATTTGCATGAACAATCTGAAATAAAATATATTTATATCAAAATAATTCATTTTTTTTATATTTGCAATTTTTGCAGTCCAGAAATTATATTATATTAATTACATTTTGAGATTATAAATGATTTTTAGAACATTAAATTTTTCACCAATAAATATAGAAAAAAAAATTATAATTGAATTAAATTCGACATAATTTTACTAAAAACTCTATTTAAAATACAAATGTATTTAAAATTTTTGATCTTTTGTCTCTACATTCGAATAAAAAAAATAATTAATTAATTAATTCAAAATAAAAAAATTCAAAATATTTTGATATTTGTTTTTATAAGACGGTGCGTTGCAAAAAGTAAATTTTCTAAAAAAAACACTCATAAACTATTGGCAGAAATATTGAGACAATTTTATAAATACAAACTGAAATTTAGAAATCTGATATTTTTTGTATTCCTATGTTAAATTTAAACTATAATTTTTGGACAATTTATTTATTTATTATTCAGATTATATTTTTTTTTCAAAACATTAAATGAAATTCTCAATAAATAAATAAATTGTTGTGAGATTACAAATCTCTAATTATAATTATATTTAGATTTTACTCTGAATTTGACATAATTTTACAAAATTCTATAAAAAAAATAATTAATTAATTAATTCAAAATAAAAAAATTCAAAATATTTTGATATTTGTTTTTATAAGACGGTGCGTTGCAAAAAGTAAATTTTCTAAAAAAAACACTCATAAACTATTGGCAGAAATATTGAAACAATTTTATAAATACAAACTAAAATTTAGAAATCTGATATTTTTTGTATTCCTATGTTAAATTTAAACTATAATTTTTGGACAATTTATTTATTTATTATTCAGATTATAATTTTTTTTCAAAACATTAAATGAAATTCTCAATAAATAAATAAATTGTTGTGAGATTACAAATCTCTAATTATAATTATATTTAGATTTTACTCTGAATTTGACATAATTTTACAAAATTCTCGAAAATAAGAATGTAGATAATTTTTTTCTTATTTTTAATAAATTTCACTTATAATGCATATGTATATAGAAATGTACAATTATGCACTCATATATACAAGTA